CTTACGGCTCCATTAAATTCCACATAGCCTTGCCTTCCCAAAAGTTATTCCCATTTCGACCGAAGTAGGCTACAGTTTTAACCTTGTCTGAACTCATCTCACTAGCACCCATGGCGAGACGTGAACCATGATGGTGTAGTGTCCAATCTCGACACGTTAGCCACTACATCAGATTGCCTCGATTGCCCATGGCTCGCAGAGTAGATGTGAATTTCATGGAAGGCCAGGCCGTATCCCATATCACATTCTCTAGTGGGATTGTCGATGAAGCAAAAGTGTATTTTCTATAAAACTAGACGACCTTATTGGTTAATTATTTTCATAAAATATACTCATAGAACGAAAAACAAATAACGTAGTCGAATACTATAGCAATGCAACTTTGCCTTATCAACAATCCCATCACAGAATGTAATATGGGAAACTGAATAGCCTTCACTTAAACTTACATCTGCTCTGTGACACATGGACAATCGTGGCAGTGTTGCATGGTGGTTAAAAGAGCGAGACTACCCGCTGCACTGTCGTGGTTCGAGTCCCGTTGGAGGTGTTGATAAGACCTAAGCAAAGTCGAAACTGCAGTATACTCCTGTCTGTATGGCAACAACTTTTAGGAAAGCAAGGCTACGTAAAATGCATGGAAACGTTATGTCTACTGATATCATTGTGGGAAAATTGAGCTATCAGTCTCCTTCTCACCTTAAACGAGATATGGTAAAAATATCGCAGGAAAAGACTTGCAAAAGGGCACACCTCGAATAGAAACAAGAAGGAAGTTCTTATAGCGAAGAAGTGAGGTACGAGGATAGTTGATGGGTAGATGTACTAGGACAGGAATGCTGCCAACTTTGATGCCGGATAAACGTCAACAGTCCAACACTGGGAATTATCAAAACTATTTTACAGATGACTTCGGACAAGCTGCGTCAAATTTGGTCATCCTGACAACACGTCTAAGTTAGACAACTTTTATAGCTTGAAAGGAAACTGCAACTAAAATAGAGGACACAACATCCTGGTTTATATGATGACTTATTCTAAAGTCAGTTATTGTGAGGAATTACTGCATTTTTAAACTTATTGTGATTAGGTAGAAAAACTTGGTTTGAAAGAATCATTATTATTGCTTCTCTAATTTCCAACGTCGTAAAGAGAGCTCAGCAGGAAGAGTGAAAGGAATTTCGCCTCACGAACTGCATTTAGTCACAGCAATGTTTATATCATTATTCATTAAATAATAGCCCAAACAAGAACGTTCAGGTTTGGCCAATCCTCGACAGTGATACTTGTCTGCTGATAGTTGAGAAGACTACTTACACCAAATATAAGTAGCATTGTTGAGCTTACTTCCATCTCGAGTGATAGTAGTTGTTTGACCTTGTTTTCGCAACATGGTCATATTGGTAGGAAGACTTAGAGGAATGCATCTAGTCCTGAGTCCATTTTATGCATACTACTTTCCAAAGTCGGACCATGGACGTGGTACATTCTCATTGACGATACCGACTACGATGCCGGCAAAACGTATGGGAATGTACCACGTCCATGGTCCAACTTTGAAAAGTAGTATGCATACAATGGACTCAGGACTAGATGCGTTCCTCTAAGTCTTCCTACCAATATGACCATGTTGCGAAAACAAGGTCAAACAACTACTATCACTCGAGATGGAAGTAAGCTCAACAATGCTACTTATATTTGGTGTAAGTAGTCTTCTCAACTATCAGCAGACAAGTATCACTGTCGAGGATTGGCCAAACCTGAACGTTCTTGTTTGAGCTATTATTTAATGAATAATGATATAAACATTGCTGTGATTAAATGCAGTTGGTAAGGCGAAATTACTTTCACTCTTGCTTATGAGCACTCTTTACGACGTTGGAAATTGGAGAAGCACACATGCTGGCTTTATACTTAACTTCTTCTCCAATCATTGTTACAAAAACAAAGGTTGGAGTTTTAAAATCCATGATTATTCGGAGAATAAGACTTGCCGATAGAGGCCATTGTGACTATGAACTGAATCGGATTAAAAGAATATTTCTTGAGAATTATTATCCCCTAGGCTTGATTAAAATAATAGCTTTCCGAATAGTGAATATGTAAGGAGAGATAAGGAGACCTCTTCTCATGTTTTGTCTTTACCCTTGTGCATTCTCTCTAAAAGGAGAGGTGAGCAAGTAAGGAAGTGGGGAATAAAAACGGTCTTCAGGGAAACTACGACACTTTC